TTGCATTAACTGTGCAATGGCTCACACAGGACACAGACCCAGCTGGGCTGGGGTCACCCATATACTATCAAGGGCACCGTTCCTAGGAAGACGTATTTCAAATTATGCTGCACTGTCCAGCATGAGGGTCTGGAGGGGCCTCCTGGAAAGCAGGGGTTGCCCTCTAGTTAAAAAAAGCACTCATTTAAACAGGTTCAATCCCTAGTTTGCTGTATGAAAAACCCTACTCAAAAAATGAAAAGACAAGTAACAAAATGGGAGAACTATTTCCAAGCTACATCCACACTCTTGGGAGCAGGGACTTAAAAGGTAAAGGGTGGTTCCAATGTAAACTTCTCATGAGAAAGCTTCTACCAACACTATGTCCCTGAAACTCATATGTCCTTTAACAGAGGCGCTGCCATGTGTCAGCCGTGGTGCCAAGGGATGGCGCTCTCTGGGTTCTGTCCTGCACTCCTGTGTGGACAGAGCAGAGATGGCAGTAGATGTTTTGCTGCCACCTGGATGGAAGCCATTGATGTCCACAGCCAGTGAGGGCTGCAGGAGGTGAAGATGAATGAGCACAACAGGAACAGGGAGGTGCCCCCTGCCTTCACCAGGGCCCACAGACCCCCAGGGCCCTCCCACCACAGGCCTCTCGTGGGTTCTGCTAATGATTATAAATGGCAAAGAATCTCCAATTTAATTGCAAAAGGTAATGATGCAGTGAGCATAAGATTAGATTCACCACAGAAGGCAATATCCTCAAACAATAAAACCCGAGCAGCAGTGTGAGGAGGTTGGAATCGATGAGAAGGCTTCTGTATTAAACACCACAGTGCAGGTCACAAAGGGGTATTGACAGAACTGCTGACAGTGGACAAAAAAAGGGGGAGAGAAAACCAAATTGATCTCTGCAGAAAATAAGTTACAGATTAATCACCCTTCTACAAGACCCTTCAGCAATGACTTGGGGTCTGAGGTTGTGCTCACCAGCTGCCCACAGGGAGGACAGCAAAGGAGGGCCAGTGAGAATTCTAGTTTGTGGCCCCTCAGGCCTCTCCAGGGCATGCTCCCAGCTCAAGGACTCCACTCAGCAATTTTCAGACTAGGAGTGGCCCCCTCTCCTCTAAATGTCATCCCAAAACCTGCTGTGAGCCTGGCATATAATGGGAAAGGATTTCCTTTTGTCTCTGTAAGCTTCCCACACCAAAACACAAGCTGAAGGGGACTGGAGGGCTCACCTTGGATTATAGTCTGACTTCCCGCATGTGTCCTAGAAGGTGGGAGGCCACAAGGGTGCCTCGCTCTGGGCCCGCAGGTGTCCACGGGCCAATCACAGGTTCTAAATTCCTTCCATTTGCATGTTTTACTTTCAAAGTTCCTGTGAGATTTGGATGATACTGCACAATACAGTGATACATCTTATTTAAAAAATTTTTAAATAATGATTTTTCCCTAAATACTGTCTATGCTCTAGGAAAACAGGGCAACTCTTAATTTCACATCGAAGACTGCATACATTCAGTTTTTAAATGTTAACAAGTCACTTAATATTTTAGAAACTCCTACTTCTGTGCCACATATTAATAATGATAAATCATTATTCATGTCATCTCTTTAACCCAGCAGGGTGAAGAAAGGATGTATTAGGATTGTAAGGTGCTAAGTAAGCATGGTAAGAACAAACACATACAAGATGAGGCTGTCACTAGAGAAATCTACCCAGAAAACGTTCTCAATCCCCTTGACTAAGCAGAGACAATGTGGCCTACACAGGTAGGTGTGACATTATCAGTTGAAATTTCTTGATTTTTCTTTTTTTAAAGTTGTTACTTTGACATAAACAAATGCCATGAAATTCTGAATGCATGTAAAAACACATTTAAAAAAGAAAAAATATTAAGGAATCAAGTATGAAAAACATACATGCTCTATGGAAGACAAAGGGTTCATAAGAAGCAAAACTTTTTTCCAAGAAAGCAAGTGCTAGTAATTATTTTTATGACTCATATGAGTACATTACAAAGCTAGCCAACACTGTGAAGTTAATATTTTCTAAGTTCTCCTACTCAAAAGTGTGATTTTTAACCAACTACACTTTGGAAATCCCTTCATGGAAAAGAAATCACCAGCAACTGAAGAGCATCCTTCACCATCCCACTTCCCTTTCGGATAAGGCAGCAGAGTCAGCACCTGTGTCAAACTGGGCCTTGTGCACAACTCAACCAGCTTTCAGCTGTCAACCAAAGCCCAGATCATCCAGTTCTCTGATTGATGACTCAGTCTACTTATTAACTATTTCATAAATAATGTCAAAATTCTAAACATATATGCATTAAGAAGTACATTCTATGCTTTTGTTCTCCCCCTCCTTCTGGCCGAAGTACTTAACACATGGGTATGAAAGTAAAACACTGAAACCTGCTGAAATTGTTGAAGAAAGGGGGAAGGGGATAAGTGGTGTGCCAGGGGGTGAATTTGGTTGGGGTACATCATATTCATGTATGAAACCCCTTTGTACAACTAATATATGCTAATAAAATGTCAAAATAAATAAATTATTCACCTAAAAAAAAAAAAAGGAAGTGTATTCTGAATTTAGCCTGAGGTCCGATTCCAAAAACACAGCAAGTGAAACCTCCAGGATTCTTTTACTTACCACAGCCTGGCTGGAGCTTTCCTGCAGATCCCACAGCAGGAGGTGGTTATCAGCCAATGAGATGACTTTCTTCCCATCTCCCATCGGCTCCCACGTGACACTAAGGGGAAGAGAAGTGTCAAGCATTAATGTGGACTTGGAAACCCCAGGTTTGTAGCTCAGAGCTTTTACAGTCATTCTTCATGATCCAGAAAGCTCTCTCCCTAGCCCAAAGATACGAAAAGGACTTTTTTACATTGTTATCTCATAAAGTTTTAGGCGGTTTTGTGGTTGCCTCACTGATATTCACTGAATTATGCCCCTCAAATTCCTCTGCTGGAGCAGACCCCCAGGGTGACAGTATTTGAAGATGTGAGGTGATTAGGGCTGATGAACTTATGAGGGTGGGGTCCCCTTGATGAGGTCAGAGTCCCTGTAAGAAGAGAAATCAGAAAGCTTGCAGCCTCTGTCACTCTCTGCCACATGAGGACACAGCAAGAAGGCACCCATCTGCAAATCAGGCAAGGGCCTCCCCAGGAGCTGAGCTGGCTAACACCTTGATGTTGGTTTCCAAACTCAGGAATATGAGAAACAGATGTCTAAAGTGTTCTCCATGGCATTCCAAGCTGACTTGGACTCTCACTACCATGTATTTTACGAGTGACTAAAAAAGGGACAGCCAGGGTCCCATGTGGATGGGCAGAGAGTTGTAAGAAGGCACAGAGATGGAATCTTAGTGTGGTTTTAATCAGGTTACTCCAGAGGCACCTGCACACCCATGTTTATTGCAGCACTATTCACAATAGTCAAGTTATGGAAACAGCCAAGATGCCCCACTACCGACAAATGGATTAAGAAAATGTGGTATCTATACACAATGGAATTTTATGCAGCCATGAAGAAGAATGCAATCTTATCATTCGCAGGTAAATGGATGGAACTGGAGAACATTATTCTGAGCGAGGTTAGCTTGGCCCAAAAGACCAAAAATCATATGTTCTCCCTCATATGTGGACATTAGATCAAGGGCAAACATAACAAGGGGATTGGACTTTGATCACATGATA